CGGCCATTATTGTCTGTCTCATATAAGACCAGAGTCACACCCCATCACAGACACACACAAACAGGACTGGGCTGAAGACTGGGGTAATGTTTCAGTGGGAGGAAGACAAACAGTTGTCTGGTAGAGATCAAGCATTTCATCACAAACTTTTTTTTACAAACGCTGGAGAAAACAGGAAACAGAGGGGAAAGTTGTCAAGATGTGGAGAGAGAAAATGTAGAGCGGGAAAAGTGTCTGATATGAAGGGGGGGAAAAAAATAAGTGTGAGTGGTGAGACCAACAGAGACGTGGACAGATGAGAGCCGACAGGGAGCAGAGACAATCTGTCTCTGACACCTCTGGCTTCCTGCACATACGCACTCCTTTTCACTGCTGCTGCCTCTCAAATACTCTTTTGTCTCTTTGTCTTCCATTGTGTCTTCATAAAAAGAAAAAAAAAAAGTCTGTCACTAATGTGAGTCCCTGCATCAGACAGTAAAACAAAATTGTTCCTGAAACAGTGACTTTTTAACTGACTTTAACACCTGAACTCAGCTGGATGTTTTGGGTTTTTATTTGAATGGTGATTTATATCCAATATGTCAGGAAAAATTAGGTTTAGGCTTTTCTTTCTTTTTGGACGTTGTTTTAAATTTGAATTTAAGTTTATTATTTTATGGACTTTGTTTGAAGAATCACATTTGGAGAAAGATCATAAAAAATTGGCAAGAAGTTTGGAATAAAATGTATCATATATATTTCTCAATTTTATGCACTATAATAGTCAAAACATTTACATTTTTTTGAAAATCAATTACATGTTGTGATAATTATAAAGTTTTTTTGTCAATATGAATATAAAACTATGAAACACTCTGGTCCTTTATCCAAAAAGATCAAATATATATTTTGCCCTTTTTTTAAATTTTGTAAATAATATTATTGTTTTCTAAATCAACTAATGTTTCAATTCGTGGGAGTTTTAACTTTTTTTAAAATCATTTTTCCATAGATTTATTTTCCACATCAACAACAGAAAAATATAAATATATATATATAATAAAATAATACCTGCCTCCAGGTCTGACACCAGAAAATGTGACGAGGTCATAAAACGTGATGAAGAGCTTTTTCATTCCCGCTGGATCTTCGATTAAATTGCAATTAAAAGTGTGTCACGGTGAACAGAGGAGATGCCACCACAGACACAGACCGAGGAGAGGAGGACAAAGTGATGGCGGAGGAGGAGGCACAGCAGGAGAAACACAGAGGGAAGACAGAGGAGGGGGGCTGGGGGGGGGGCACAGTAAATAAAATTCATTATGCCAAATGCCGGGGCGCACATCCATCACGGGGCAATAATGCCGGTGTCAGAGTGAGCAGCACCGCGGCCCTGTGTGCTTTTCTCCCCCTGACAGACAACTAACAGCTATTAATTGTCATTTCATCTGTGCCTTTTTGAAAAAGTCATTCCGTCAGGCAGACCTGCAGAGTCTTTCTGACAGGATGATGCATGGACGCAGCTACTGTCGAAAAGATCCCTTCTTTTTTTAAAATAGTAAAATAAATTTTTAAAATATATATATACTTAAAGATGACTTTAATAGCAAACATGATTCCAGAAAAGTTGTGTAAACAATAATAATAATAATAATAATAAAAACTCGGATTTTTGATTCGAAAACAGAAACTGTCCGATAGGAGAATTTTTTAATCATTATTAAAAAGTTGCGGTTCAGGCCTTTTATTTTAAAAAGTCGCTTCATTGGGATCAGGTTGACAAGAGTGAGGCGAAACATCGGCGGCTTTTATTTTGTTAATTGACATTTTATAATTTGGAATCAATCGTCTTTGGTTCAGTCAGTAGTCGAGTCTTACTGAATAAATAAACCGGAGTTGGGTTCAATTGTAAGATTTTTTTTTTCTTGTTTATTTTTCACTTCAATGATGGCATTAAAAAAATCTAAATCCAAAAGCGGTTTTATTTTTTAAAGTCAAAAACAGGTTTTTAAAAGAAAGTCTTCTTCTGACCCACTGACCACGTCCAGCACAAAGACTTTCTTCTCATTTTCTTCTAAAACACTAACAACAACTCCTTTCTGCTCACACAGAGCTGACACACTGGGGGTTATCGGTTTTTAAGTTTTTCTTTTTACGTTACGTTGTTGGATATTCAAAAAGCAGAAGTTTTTAAAATATAATCGATGGGGGAAAAACTACAATTGTTTGGCGCTTGTTGTGTAAAATTATCACCACATAAACTGTCGGTGTTTATTATCAAATCCCTGAAGGAGGATCATTAAAGAGGAGACGCTGATCCACATATTACCTGACGTCAAATAATAATAAAAAAATATGTTCTAGTCAAAATTAACGGATCACATTTAGGATTAGAATATTATTTTGAAAGTTCAAAAATACTTTTGATCAAAGTTAGTGATTTCAGCCGCGGACTATGGCAGAAAGAGGTTGAAGATTATTTCATACAACCGTCTCTTTTTTTAAAAGGTTTGTTAAAGATTAACTCAACCGTCGGTACATTTAAAGATTTATAAAGAAAAAAAAACCTTTGATTTCCGCGTTCGACACTAAAGAAAAAAAAAAGTTGAAATGAAAGTGTTTTTGCCCTGCCTCCCTGCTCCGCCACGATCTGACCAGACTCACCGGGACTTTCACACAAACAATGTGCGATGAAAAGTTGCACTTGTGCGTGTTTCAGAAGTGAGAGTGAGTGAGTGTGTGTGTGAGAGTGTGTGTGTGTGAGAGAGAGAGACAGAGACCAGCAGAGTTTCAATGAAAAATGAAGGAAAGATAGGAGACAAGGACAGGAGTAGATAGAGTAGATTAAAGCATCAACCTGTTCTCCTCTTGTTTTCTGAAGAAGTCAACTTTCACGCCAGGGCTCGGACCATGTGGACAGCCCTTCGCTTCTGCTCCTCTCCTCGAACCCCCGGCTCCTCCGCTCTCTCGCGGCGACAAAGGAGGGGACCCAAACCGACGGGATGAAAAATAACAAAACAAACAAAAAACAAAAAACAAAAAAAAAAGGAAAGAAGCAGAGTAGACGCAGGGAGAGAGAGAGAGAACGAGAGACAAGGAAATGTGGTGTCTAAGAGCGCAGGACCATTAGTTTTGGACGACAAAGCGCTGCTCGTTAGTCCTTTCCTCTTCCCTTTTGTGTGCGTCCTCTCTCCTCGGAGTGGCCCCTCTGGAGTGAAGTCGGAACAATACTGCCGCTAAAACTCTGGCAACGTGTGCGCAAGTTGCCAGGGAGAAAAGCGCGCTGCCTCGACTCTTGTTTTCGTTGCGTTCGCGTCCGCGGCTGTCGCTTCAACACTTCGTCAGTGCCGAGAAAAAGGACGAGAAAAAGTCTCCAGCGGTCCTCACTTTTTTGGCATCCCGACTGGTGCGCTCTCGTTCTCTGAAAATCAGGGTTCAATCACTGTGGCTCGGCGTGTGCGTATGTGTATGTGTGTGTGTTTCGGAAGGGGGGGGCGGAGAGGGGGGGACAGTTTGCTGCGCTACCGTAATGCCTCTAAAGCAGGTGCGCGTTTTCATCGCTGCCCTATCCTATCCTCGTAAAGCCCTGGCGCACAATAGGAAAACAGCAGCATCTCTCTCTCTCTCTCTCTCTCTCTCTCACTCTCGCTCCCTCTCCCTCTCTCGCACCCTCTCTCTCCTTCTATCTCTCTCTCTCTCTAGGGAGGACTGGAGAGAGAGAGTGAGAGAGAGAGAGAGACAGAAAGAAAGGAGGGCAGTGATCTTTTGACCCGTCTTTACATCGCGGCTCAGTTGTTCTGTTGTGGAGCCAGAGAAGAACAGATGTTAGCCTACACTGAGCTGGAGTTCACAAACAAAATTGGAAATGAAGCCCCCCCCCCGAGCCCCCCC